GCGAAAGAGTAGAGCTTGTGCATGCCAACTCAAATACTAGGTACTTTAATTTTCGGGAATGCTTCCAAGTGCTTATGAGAACATGATGTTGCCTAAGTCGAATGTATTTGTATTACTCAAGAGTGAACGACCTAGTGTGGACAAGCAGGACACACACTAAAGTATGATCAAGCATGGAGATGGCACCAGGAGTACAAGGAGACAAGACGGAGCTTAAGTGATGATTTCAGGATTTTGAAGCTACCATGATGATGTGTGAGGGACATGGATGAAATATGCAAGATGCCCCCCGGCTAGCGGAATCCTTCCTTTGTCCCGCCTCAAATACTTGCTAGGGGCGTCGGATTAGGGTTTGGGTTTAGTTTGATTGATTTTTAGTGTTTGCTACTCTTTGCCATAGACACGGGCGTCGGCGAGACCTCCTGTAGTACGTGCCATCAGAACCCCCGGCTAGTGGAAACCCTCCTTTGTCCCACCTCAAATACTTGCTACGGGCGTTGAATTAGGGTTTGGGTTTAATTTGATTGATTTTTAGAGTTTGCTACTCTTTGCCATAGACACGGGCGGCGGCGAGACCTCATATAGTACATGCCATCAGAACCTCGCCGAACTTCATCTTATATCTGTAATTCAGATTTCATATCTTAAATTATTGCTTGTTCTTTGGTTGCATGTATGGATTGATCTTCATGATTACATTGATTGTGTTTCCAACACTATCAATGACCATTATAGCATGAGTTGCTATATAAGTGACTATAGATAACACGGCAGTTTCATATAGCCATTAGCTGGCTATACTATTAGTCATTCTCTAATGCGACACTAGGTCCTTCGAAGCCCTTCCCATTGAAGTTACCAATGTGCCCAGCAGAAAAAGAAATAAGTACGTGCTCATTTTGACTCTTAGATGGGCTTGATTCACAAACATTAGTTAAGCCATACTGATAAAACGTTGGGATTGGCTATATGTAAGTCACCTGAAAATTTATTGTGGGTAAGTTAATTTTTTGGTCCGTTAGATTAAAATTCAACGATCATTCTTCTTTCTTCTTTCTTGTTTGTTCAGCTTTCTTCCTCCTCCAACTATTCATCCTCCCACAAAATCAACTTACCCAAATTGCAAATTCAGTCAACTTTCGTATAGGCATTGTATCAAATATTTTCATTATAGATAGTTACATTACTTTGATCACGAGTAAAGAAGTATCTAAAATGCAGAAATACAAAAGTACAAAACGCAAATATAACCGCACATATGAGCATAAAGATTTCAGAATTTTTTGAATCTTTTTTTAATTTACTGTCCACTGGGTGCAGACGAGCCTGTGCGCGAATTGAATATCCTCATGTGATGCCGCTAGTTTGTTTTAAGTAAGCGATGACCGGTCCATGGTTTCATGTTGCAATTGTACCCCCTCCGGTTCTTTCTACTCCGCGTATAAATTTTTTTTGAAGTCAAACTACCTAAAGTTTGACCTAATTTATCTTAAAAAATAGCAACATTTACAGTACATAATTTATATAGTACAAAAATTAATTTCACGATGCATCTAAAGATATTAATTTTATATTATGATGTTGATATTATTCATATATAGTTGGTCAAACCTTATGAAGTTTGACTTCGGAAAAAAATTATATGCAGATTAAAAAGAAACGGAGGAGGTACATCATTTGAAATGCTTGAATGGAGCAGCTACCCGTGTCTCCAACGTCCGAGATGAGAGAGGGGGAGAGACGAAAGCAGACAGCACCGTGCGACCATTCGAGAAACGGTGCATGGTTGGGTGCCAAGTGCCAAGAATGCGGCAGAAGCAAAACAGCATCATTTTCGACAGATTTGCAGCTCCCGCTGGAGTGGGCAGGCCTCGCCCACGCCACGCCCCCGGCCCACGCCTCCCTCCTGGTTCGCTTGCTGTCGACGGGTGAGGCGGGGCAGGCAGGCGCGAGTGAGTGAATGCTGCCTGCTGGGTTGCTGGCACAGTGCTACTGTTGCACGCGGCGGAGCAAAATGGTAGGTGCTGCATTGAAGGCTCCCTCGATTCAATTCCTCCGGTGGGGGGTGGGGGTGACGACTGGCGCGCGTGGCGTGGGAGCACAGAAGCAGTCACTGCCGAGACGCCTTTTTTGGAAGCTTCACAGGGCACTGGGCCCGGACACCAGCTGTGATCCATGGATCCTTGCTCCAACGAGCCCCTTTGGTCTGGAGCGGCCTAGGGTTCCCATTCCCTCCGGGTCAACGGCTGCAAATAGTTAGTCATACAGTTTTGATAGACTTAGACTGGATCAGAAGGGTAATCATGGATATTACAGTGATGGAATCAGAACAGTCGTTGCTCTGAACATTTTGCTGTTAGTGAATATAGGTTTACCAGAGGGGCAGTGAAAAGATTTGGCAGCATCAGACCAGTAACAAAACTAATAAAATGACCACACATTGTGAAGCAGAAGATGTCGAGCAATATATGTAAGAAATCAAAAGTCACATTTATCAGAACAACTAGCTAAGAACGCAATCAGATATCAGTCGTTTCAGGGGAGCCGAGATGCCGGCCAACCACTGCGGCACCGAGGCAATACCCATACCAGCAGAGATAAGCTACAGTTTCATCCAAGGAATGAACCAAAGAATTGCAGAGAAGCAACAAGCAGCATCGCCAACCCCCTAAAATTTCAGAACCAAACTACAAACTACATGCATTCCATAATGCATCACCACTCCATCGCTCCCACCCTTCTTCCCAACCGGGCATCATATATGCATCTAGTAGAGAAACAAAAACCCAGTTACACGCGGAACAAAGTTCAAAAGAGACCTCAGACCATCTCATCCCCTGGACTGTCCTGCGGACTCCTCACCACCTCGAGTATACTCAACACCTCGCCCATGTCCGGCCGGTTCGACGGCACCTGCGAGGTGCAAACGAGGCCCAGCTTGATGATCGGAATGGCCTCCTCCATCGGGAACTCGCCGCACAGTCTCGGATCCATGCAGTCCTCCAGCCTGCCTTCCTCCAGCGCGCTTCGCACCAGATCACATAGCACGACCACGTCATCTTCCAAGTACTCAACGGGCCTCCTGCCCGTCAAGATCTCCAGTGCAAGCACACCGAAGCCGTAGACGTCGCACTTCTCGGTGATCTTCACCGTCTTGCATGCGAATTCTGGCGCCATGTACCCGAGTGCACTCTGGATCTTACTGCTCAGCACATACCGGTCCAGCATCGGGAGCAGGCTTGCAAGACCATAGTCACCGACCCTGGGCTCGCCATTGCTGTCCAGCAGCACATTGCTTGACTTGAGGTTGTAATGGACAACCCCATGCTGGTGGAGGTGCATCAGTCCCCTGGCAACACCGATGATAATGTCAAACCTCTCCATCCAGGAAAGAGTGTTCTCGTCCGTGCACTCATGGAGGTGCTTGTGCAGATTTCCTCCTGGGAGGTAATCATAGATGAGCAGCTGCAGCGACGAAGTCCAGTAAAAGCCTCTCAGTGTGACAATGTTGTGGTGCCGCATCTTGCTAAGCACCTTCACTTGTCGCTCAAAGTCATCCTTAGACTTCACCAAGCTAGACACGGTGAGCTTCTTGATGGCCACCGGCTGTCCGTCTCTGAGCACCGTCTTGTAGACGGCACCAAAGCCTCCTCGCCCAAGCTCACAGTCCTTGTTCAACAAGGCATGCCCACCAGTGCTGAACTCTGGGCTGCCTTTACCAAACATGACAAGCTTCCCAGAGCTAGCATCATTCTCCGGGGATTGGCTAAGGTAATCATCAGATAGTGCAATAGCAGGCTTTGGGTGGGAGGCGGCTGCACGGACACGACGGTTGAGCACAGTCACAGTGATCACTCCGAAGGCAATGGCAGCACCGCCCGCAATGGCAATGAGGGTGGAGACGCTCAGTATGATTTTCTTGTGGTGCTTGCTGCTAGGGGAGCTTGGTGTGGATTGCGACAAGGGGTTTGATGAGGAATTGGGGTTGAGTACAATCGGCTTCGGCATGACCACACCGCAGGAATTGTTCTTCCTGGAGCTGCATAGGCCGGAATTGTCTGATAGGAAATAGTTGGGGATATTGTCGAAGAAACGGCTGTTGGGGAGATTTCCTGATAGCAAGTTGTGGGAGACGTCAAAGATGTGCAAGCTGGGCAGATTAGAAAGCTCCACCGGCAGGGTCCCATTCAGCCTGTTCTGGGAGAGATCAACAGCCTGAAGACTGGTGAGGTTCCCCAGGGTGCTTGGAATCGGTCCCGTGATGTCGTTGTGCGACAAATCCCTGCATTCACAAGCATAACTGAGTTTATATTTGCTCGATCTGCAGGCTTCATTTTTTAAGCAGTGCTCATTAAGTCAGAATCAAGTAACAATAAGTTTAGTTTGCTCGATCTGCAGGCTGTTTGGTTTCTAGCCACACCTTGCCACACTTTGCCACAACTAACTGAGTTTATATTTGCTCGATCAGCTTGCTAGATTTTCTATTTGATTACAGTTTGCAAAGTTTGAAACAAATGCCCAGATTCCCACACATGCACATTTGACTTCAATTCTAAGCGTGTCCTAGAAAATGAACTGGGCACTGGATACGAGCAGGACAACATGACAGAGACCCACAATTTGCGGTTTAGGACTCCTAACAGAAAACTAAGACATCGGTGTCCTGTCATTTTCTACAACGTCTCTGCAACCTAGGAAACTGAAAGCAACCAAGGCATGCAGGGAAATACAAAAAACAAATAGACCTAGTCAACTTCACTAACAAGCAATCTGAAGTGTCAAATTTGGTGCGTCAAAAAAATGGGGAGAAATTCGCTTACAGTGCAACGAGGGAATTGCAGCTCCCAATCTGTGCCGGTATGCGGCCGGTGAGCGAATTGTCCCCCATCCTCAGCACCCGGAGCGCCACGGCGCCGCCAATCTCCGGTGGCACGCTTCCGGTCAGCGTGTTAGCGCTCACGTCGAGCACCTCCAGCAGCCTCATCCCACCAATGCCAGCAGGCAGCTGCCCCGATATGGAATTCGAGGACAGGTTCAGAAACTGCAACCCCGCGAAGGCAGTAATCTGCGGCGGGATCCCGCCGGAGAACGCGTTGCTCGACAGGTCCAGCACATGCAACGCCAACGCGGCATCTCCGGGGACCTTGACCCACCCGTCGAGCTTGTTGCCGGCGACCGAGACGCGCTGCAGTGGCAGGCCGAACACCCACCATGGGAGCTCGCCGGTCAGCGCGTTCCGGCTGAGATCGGCCTCCAGCAGGTTCTTACATTTCGCGATGTCGTCGGGGATGACGCCGGCGAAGCGATTGCCCGACAGGTCAAGCCGCTCCAGCGACCACATCTCCCCGATCCACGCCGGCACCTCGCCAGCGAGCGCATTGCTGCCGGCGCCAAGGAACCGCAGCGCGGTCAGCCTCCGGAGAGAATCCGGCAAGCCGCCGGTGAAGAAGTTACGCCCGAGATCCAGCGATTTAAGAAGCGCCGCCTCTCCGACATCGGCCGGTATCTCCCCGGCGAAAAGGTTACGGCTCAAATCCAGCGCCCGCAGCGAGCTGCTCCGGGGGAACCCGCCAGGAACACTCCCCGACAGCGAATTCCCGGAGAGGTCCAGAGAGCGGAGCGAGGGCAGCGACCAGATACCGTCGGGTATCGGGCCAGCGAGGCGGTTGGAGGAGAGGTTGAGGGAGAGGAGCGAGGAGCAGGAGGCGACCGCGGGCGGGATGTAGCCGGAGAGCTCGTTGTGGGCGAGGGAGATGGTGCGGATGTCGCGGCATTGGGCGAAGAGGTCGGCGGGGACGGTGGCGGCGAGGCGGTTG